AACTCTTGAAGGATTGGCTACATTAGGGGTATGTCAACTAATATGCAAAGGAGTTCCTGCTTCAATACAGAAAATGATAACAGTATTTTAAAGAATTGTTCAGATGCACCTGTCTAATCACTTGTATGCCTGCAGGATGTTTGAAGAAGTAGTTCTGAATATGCAGGGTCTCTGTTACTCTCATCTTTCCTCAAAGAAATATGTGGTTGTTATTTCCCCATTTTACACTAGGCTGAGAGCTTCCAGGCAGAGGGGAGATTTCAGTCTTGGGTTCAATCTGCATTGGTATTTCTTATCATTGTGCAAGTGATCTCACATCGTCTCACAATTTTCTGTCTGCATTTCATGCCGCATCCACTCTCCTGTTGTTTCATCTCAGCATCGGCTGTCTGCATCATTTCATTGCCATTTAGTGGTGACTCCAAGGTCACTACGGCATCTCACCGCCTTATTTGAATGTGGTTTTAAGGTGGTAAAACTGCTCCTTCCCACCGTCGAACCGCGCTGAGAAAAAAGCAGACAACTGGAGTTGAATCCCCCCCCATCTTTTCTAAGGAGATATTCAAATTGTCACAAAGGAAACAAGATAGCTGAAAATCCAGTCATCTGTGTTTAAAAGTAGCCAGGGAACATTTTTCTGTGATCATATTGGGGGTTGGGGTTGGAAGTATGCCCACCCCTGAACCATCTGTTATTTCCTGGGGCAGTCTTCAGAAAGCCCTGATTGGCAACTGCTGGGTGTTTGTGTTTTTTACACAGCTCATTCCATCTTTCCTGCCCCCCCCCGCCTCCCCCTCTGCCAGGTCACCCCCTTTTACTTTCTGTGTGTGTGGGGGGGGCGGCACAGGTGCCATTTCCTCCCCACAGTGCAGTGCAGTGCAGTGCCCTGCCGGTGCCCCTGGGAGGCTGCTCCTCTCCCATCTCTCATGTGCTATCCCTAAACAACTTGCATCCTCATGCAAATAGGAAGCCGGCGCCACAGCAGCACAGAACAGCTTTACATAGCAAATGCAGATTGGGCCTCAGTCTCCCCAGTCCTAGTTCAATTTATTTATTCCAAAGAGGTCTTTAAAGGAGTTTTTCCAGAATGTAGATTGATACCCAACATAATCGGTTGTCGTTAGTTTTTTAAAAAAACCTTCCAGTTCAGTTCTATCCATGTTTACTTGAAGTAAATCCTATTAAGTGGGCAGAGACTGTGGATTTAGTAGAAATAAAGCACTGCACAAGGGGAACAAGATCCCTAGACTAAACCTTTTGTTCTCACAGTACACGTTAAATGCCAGACAACCTTGTTTATGTTGTGTTCCTCTTGATTTCATCAGACCCTGCAGTGTCCGTACATGTTTCCCCAGCAGACATATCCCAGCATGGGATATGACAGGAGTATGAGAGCTGACAGGAAAGTAATCTGCATACCACAGAGAGAGGGCCCTGCATTGTCTGCATTACAAATTACTTTAATGCTATATGTGGGGCATGGGAGAATCTCAGTATTTGCATTAGGGATGCCCTACAATTTGTGTCACCTGCACTTGACAGTTGAATTTAGTGTGTTCAACTATGATGATCAGTGACGAGTTGATCGCTGGGCCTGTTCAGTTGCATATCAAACCACACAAATACCTGCCAAATGTCTTATATCAGGTTTTTTCAAAACTGCACATGTGTGAAATTGCTGCCAACCCAAATGGACCAGCAGCTATTAATGTTGCCTAAAGACTATTTAGACAAACTTAGTAGTAGGATTTTATATGTATATATATATATATAGAGTATTTATTTATGACAGACATATAGTTTGTAACTAATTTTACTATTTATTTTAGTAATTGTCTGCTGAACAGAGCAGTGGGGCACTGAGGGTGGGGAAGCAGAACTCGGCTGGGTTGCGTGAGGACATGCATTCGCAAAAACTCAGTTTCTCTGTCCTGCACTGTTAGGAATGAATATGGAGAAGCAACCTGGCCAGCACACCAGCTCCCTCCAATTCCTCCTGGGGGCTGCTGGCTGCAGTCTGGCAATCCTATATCTAGTTAAGGATATTTGTGACCTGTAATAACTAAAAAATCTCTGCCATCATTGTCATAAAACAAAAATTCCCAATGTTCCTCTTGGGATGACGATTCTGTGTAAAATAGAGTAAAGTCTAATGTACCTTGAGCTTCAATAAACCTAACAAAAGGGATGTTGCTGTTTCTCTGAAGCACATGTATAGTATCCTTTAATTAGATGCTAATTACCAGTTACATTATAGTTTCATGTATAATTCCAATAGCATTTGTAAAGCAAATTGAATGCATACCCATGAAGCCTTTATGCTTATAACTAAGCCAGACCATTGTTTTATCAAGCTCAGTATTGTCTACTCTAACTGGGAGCACCTCTCCAGGGTCTCAGGCAGAGGACTTTAACATCACCTACTACTTGGTCCTTTTAACTGTAGGTGTGGGAATTGAACTTGGGGCCTCAGATGTTTTACGTCTGAATCAAAACAATGGAGAACCTTACCAGACTTAAGAACATAAGAACATAAGAGACGCCAATGTTGGATCAGGCCAAAGGCCCATCCAGTCCAACACTGTGGGTGATTTCCCACAAGCGCTGCTCCGTGCTCACTCTTCTCTTTGGCCCGATGGTACGTGTCAATTTCACACAAGCTGCTGCGTGACCGCATTTTGCCCCGCAGCTTCGTGCGATTTCCCCCGCGTCTACTAAATCCTGTTTTTTGAGGATTGAGTAGATGCGGGGAAAATCGCATGAAGCTCCGGGGCAAAATGCGGCTGCGCAGCAGCTTGTGTGAAATCGACATGTACCATCGGGGCAAAAGGGAGGAGTGAGCGCGAGCAGCGCTTGTGGGAAATCACCCTCTGTGTCACACAGTGGCCAGAAATACCAGGCGCCATCAGGAGGTCCACCAGTGGGGCCAGGACTTCTGCTAGGTGATATAAACATGAGGGAGTGTACAGAGTGACTGGTGGTGTATATAATAGACAAAGGAAATGAATCATCTAGGTTAAAAAGCTCAATACTGGAAAATGTTTTTTAGACTTTGAACATTCAGGTTACCTTTCCGTATAGTTGCAGCTTTTTTTTTTTTTTGAAGTGCCAAGACTGTGCTTTAATCTAAGGTTAGCCATTTTGCATGGATTTGTAATGTGTCTCATTTTCCAATTATTTTAGAGTTCTTTTGCTTCCTACAGTTGAACAGAGATGATGAATTTAGGCCTCATGGTATAAGTGTGTTGAATTAATAGGTTTCTTGGAACACACAGCCATATTCAAAAGAAAGTCCTAGTAAGTTCAATCAGTGTGACTTATTATGGAAGAATGCATATTTTTACAGGAGGAGTGGTAATCAATCCAGTACAATCCCATCTGGATTTCAAGGCAATCTATTTTTTAGAGTTTATCAAACAAAAACAGTGGTACTAAGAACGCCCTCCGCTTGAGTTCGAATGTACCTGCTAGACTTGTCGCTCTCCCTGTGCTCCACTGCAACAGCTTTGCTCACCTGAGGAGGGCCTTCTACAGGTGCCACTCTGCAAATGGGCAAGATCAACAACTGCCCGTACATGTGCTTTCTCTGTTGCGACTCTCACTTTGCGGAATGGCCTGCTGAAAGGCATCAGGGAAGCCAACGTGTTTCTGTCTTTTTGCAGGATGAGAAAACAGAAGTGTTTGACGGGGCATTTTTAAAAAAGGGTTAGAACTGTAGTATAATGGAACAGCCCAAGGGGTTGTTTTTATAAGGGCATAGGATTGTCGTCTATTGTGTATATATAACCCTGTTTTTACTGCCTCATCTTCTATCTCTGTAGGCCACTTTCTGCATTATGATATTTATTTATTTTATTTTAAACACTTTTGTGCCAGCTTTCCACCCAGTGGAGGGTCTGCAAGGTGGCAAACATTCAAAACATTAGAATAATTTTTAATGCATATACAAACAATGTAGCAAAACACAAAAACACATAAACAGGAAGGAGGCTCACTGATGATCACTGAGGAAATGCCAAAAAAACCCCAACAACAACAGAAAAGTTTTCACCTGCTGGCAGAAGACAGTGATAGAGGGGAGATATTTCCTTGGAGAGGGAATTCATAATGTCAGTGTAATGACTGAAAAAGCCTGTTATGACAACAAAAGTACATTGACAAGCTGTTGTGGTCATAACAAGAGGCTTTATAGAACTTCCCTCATGAAGGCTGAGAGAGGTAGAAAACTGTTCCCATATAACCCTTCCCTTAGGTACACAGTTCCTTTTAATGTAGTTCCATCTATCACGATACAGTAGGAGTAGGCAGTCCTTTATGTATGCTGGCTCCAAGCTGTATACAGCTTTAAAGGTCAATACCAGCACCTTGAATTGGGCCTGGAAGCAAATTGGGAGCAGAGTAGATTTATTTATTTATTACTTAGACTTTTACCCCCCTCCCCCCGCCGAGGCAGGCTCAGGGCAGCTTACATAGGAAACAATAGAAAAACAATAATATAAAAATCAATATAAAATACAGGGTAAAATTATTAAAACAAGACTAGATGGAACAAGACTGAAGTGATATTATCTATACTATGACCCACTCCAGTCAGCATTCTGGCCACAGTGCTTTTCCTAGTCCCTATACTGAAAGGCAATCCAGAAGGATATACCATGATTGGTGGTACTGAAAGTCACTGAGAGGCCCAGAGAATCAAAGTCACACTTCCCCCATCTATTTCCCAGTGTAGGTCATCTACCAGGGCAGCCAAAGCCATTTCAGTCCCATAACCGCATCTAAAAACAATCAGCTTTTTACCTGGGAATTCTTAGAGTTGTCCAGCTACCACTCATTCAATCATCTTGCTCAAGAATGGTATATTTGAGACTGGATTATAGTTACTCAAATTTCCTGGGTTTAGCATAGGTTTTTTTTAGGAGTAGACAGGGCTATTTTTAGGCTGGAATGTACCAGAATGGTATTCCGGCTGCGTCCTGGCTTTGCCACGCCCCCTGCTCCTACAGCCCTCGGTGGCCCGACTTAGCAGTCCTCAGCTGGGCCACTGGAGGAAGAAGTATAGTAAGTTGTTTTCCCTGAGCGGGGGTGGGGGTGGGCCATGTGGGGGTGGTGGCTAGGGCTTGATGGGGGTGG